TGGTGATCTTGGAAGAGTCCAGACCTCTCTAGCCTCATTTCCCTGAGATAAAGGCCCATGTGAACATATTGGCATCTTCATGTTAGGTCTGCAGCAACTCTGGGGTCTACTGGAATGTACCTTGTCTCCAGGATGAAGGCCTTTCACCTTCCCTCGGATGTTCTTCACCAGCTCTGGGTAGAAGAACTCTGGGCAGCGTTTGTGATCTGGTTCAAAGAGGGTGAGTGTAATCCGAACAGCAGCTGCAGCTGGCTCACAGTCTTGATGCTGTTCTGTTCCTCCAACCTCCTCTTTCCTGGACTTCTTCAAAAATGCAGGATTCAAAGAACCTGGGAGAGAGGTGAACTGGACCCTGTGGGGCTCCGACATGGCTACCAACAAGTCTTAGCAGGTGTCACTGCATGATTTCTGTTAACATTGAAAAGAAGGGCCAGGTCAAACCAAAATAACAAAGGAAGACATTATCAAAATAACAAAACAGTTGTCAGTTACACAGAGTTAAAAAAAATTTCCTTGTCAAAAAGAATCCATTGATAAATTATAATCGTGTTAACTCATTTAAGCAAAAAGTGGTAAATATAAATTTTTTCCTTTTTTATAAATCATCCCGCATCACATAATTCAGGTTAAACCTGTGTATTAATGCAGTCGAAACTTTTTTTTTGCATGTGACCCTTCTCATTTCCTATGTACCTAGAAAGCTCTTTACAAACAGACCATAAGGAAGAAATCACCCCCTCAGTCTTTTATAGATACTAACTTCTAAACTAAGTTGAACTTAATGTCCTCTAAAGTCTGAGAACAGGCTCTAACTAATTTTTTCCCCAGTACCAATTACTGAGTAATCTTCCTTTTCCTGATGATTTCTCACTAAGGGTCCATGCTAAAAGCCACGTTACATTAATCAAATACTTGAGAGATTCTTTAACTAATACAGCTTTGTCTTGAAAACTCTTATACTTTTAGTATATGAAATTAAAGTTCATCTTTATTTTCTTTTTAAAATAGTAACTAACTGGGGGGCTGGAGAGATGGCTCAGCGGTTAAGAGTACTGGCTGTTCTTCCAATGGACCTGGGTTCAATTACCAGCACCACATGAGAGCTCACAATTGTTTGTAACTCCAAGATCTAACACCCTCACACATTCATATAAGCAGGCAAACATTAATGCACAAAAAATATTTGAAAAATAATGATAACTGGCTTTAACCTATTTCAGATCAATTTTAGAATCATTTGTGCAAGTTCCCTCCAAAATGTATTTTGCAAAATGAATCACAAATATGAATTCAGAATGATTTGTCTATCATATATGTAGAGATAGTAAACTATATTGGATATTAATTTCGTTCATTATCATAAAAAGGTGATATAAGATCAGATAAGGGAGTAAAAACTATACAAATGAGTTAAAAAGTCATTCTAATCAGGCAGCAAAGATATAACCAGTAAAATAGACTGGCCTGTGCAAAACGTTTACCAACACGCACTAGGATACTGGAAAAAAAAGAAACCCCACCCCCCCCCTCAAAAAAGGGAACTTCCAAGGGCCTCAGGACATTGCAGAAAATTCACCTGGCTGTGAAAGCAAACCTGAACCGAAAGTTAAAGGCTAACAGGCTCCCCACTGAGAGGAAGCACAATCTTACTGTAAGAAATGGATCAGCAAGTTACCTAATTGGATGAAGAAACTGGCAACCAGATCCTAGTCTTTCCTCTAGCCAAAATTTTTAAAATGTAGCCTCATCTCAGTCCAGGTTTTTAGAGGGCCCAACTCAAATGCACATAGTCAGTAATAATATTCCTGTTAGCTAATTTGTACAAGTCTTAGCAGGGAGACAGGACTAGAGGAAGAGGTAAATCACCTATTAATTCTCACAAGTCAGATTTTGATTAAGTTTAATGATCATCACAACATGCTATTTTGTTCTGGGGCTAAACCATTAAAAACATTTAAGACAATCAGGTATATTAAAGGTCATGTTAAATTTATGCATTTAATTCCAAATGCTCAAGAAAATGCAATTAACTTCTAAAGTTTATAAAGATTCTGAATCATTTATACAATCAAATTTATGAGTTATGATCTTGGAAAGAGCTTGCTATAAGGCTTACAAGTTTACCTCTTTAGAAATATGAAGTAGCCAGGCAGTGGTGGCGCACACCTTTAATCCCAGCACTTGGAAGGGAAGGGCAGGTGGATCTCCACGAGTTTGAGGGCAGCTTGGTCTACAGATCAAGTTCCAGGACCAGCCAGGGCTACACAGAGAAACCCTGTCTTGATGCCCTCCCCCTAAAGAGAAAGAAAGAAAAAAAGAAATATGAAGTATCTGAGAGAATTAAAAAAAATCATTTTTCTTAGTGTAGTTTAAATCACTTAAGAGAATTTAATTAATCTGGTTTACAAAGAGTTAACTGCTTAAGAAAGTTTGATCTGTGCTGTCTCAAACATTTGTCCAAGTCTTACTTTCACATGCATGCATGTGTGCACATGGATGAAAACTTACAGAAGTTGATTCTTTCATTTTATCCTGTGGGTTCCAGGGACTGAATGTAGGTCTTCAGGCTTGGAGGCAGGCACCCTTATCTGCTGAGCCATCTTGCAGACCCTCAAGTAATTTTTTTTTTTGACATATAAATTCTTAAAATTTGTAAACAAAACATAAATGAAATTTTGTAAGTCTTAAAAACAGCTAAGATTGGGCTGGAGATAGAGCTCAGCAGAGTGCTTTCCTAGTATGCTGGAGGCCCTGGGTTCAATTCCCACAGTGAATTAAAATGGGAACAGCAATAGACACTTGTAATCTCAGCATAGTGGAGGTGGAAGCAGGAGGATCAAAAATTTAATACTCTTAGCTAATGAAGGAGTTGAAGGCCCCCTTGGATTATGTGAAACTCTGTCTCCAAATAAAATGGCAAAGAAGAAAGTAAACAAAAACACACCTAGAGATTAGAAGTTTCCGGGGTATTTTTTTGGTTTTGTTTTGAGACAGGGTTTCTCCATGTAGCTCAGGCTGTGAAATTAGGCTCTTAAATACTCTGAATGATTTGAATATTAGAATGCCACACAAAGGGGGCAAAAAAAAAAACAAAACAAAAAACCAAGATTGTGCCTAGGGAGGTGGTAGCACATGCCTTTAATCCCAGTAGATGCAGGCAGATCTCTTAGTTAGAGGCCAGCCTGGTCTACAGAGGGAGTTCCAGGATAGCCAGGGCTACACTGAGAAACCCTGCCTTGAAAACCCAGAAGAAGAAGAAAAAAAACTCAGAGCATGCAAAAGTCACTGGATTCCTTTACATCTCTAGATATTCCCAGGGGATGTTTATGTTTTTGTTCTCATATTCTTCTTAACCATTTTACTTTTTAAACAGACTATTGATGAAAGAGACAAACTTGTATGCTAATTTAATCATTTTTTCCTTAAAGGCTTTCCTCTTTTTCTTGCAAAATGCAGTTTTATTATCTACAGAAATGACAACTTTTCTTTCACATTTACTTTTGTTTCCTGCCTTATTTCATTAGCTAGAATTAGCTTTGGAGCCTGACCTGGAACTAGCTCTTGTAGACCAGGCTGGCCTCGAACTCACAAAGATCTGCCTGCCTCTGCCTACCGAGTGCTGGGATTAAAGGCCTGTGCCACCACTGCCTGGCTTTATTAGGTGATTTTATGAAACATTAAATACACTTAAAATGGTCAGCTTGTGTTTAAAATAACGGTGTAAATGACAGTCCCTACAACTAATCGGTGGTACTCCTGGGCAATTTGTTTCCAAAGAAAAACAGGCTGGGGTCAACCTAAGGCACCCACCCAGCTTCTCCATCCTACTGCCCCCAGAGCAATTTACAATCAAAGCCTCTACATGGGGGCCACTGCTTTAGGGAGATAGGTGGGCATGAACTCGACACCTTCCGAGCTAGCACTGACTCAAAAAAGTTAAGTCCACCCTAGAGTTAAGTTCACGGATTCCCAGCCGCCCGCTCTGAGAGTGAATCTCTCTTACTCAAAAGTCAGGCTTCAACCCCGTCTGCGGAAGTTTGGGGCAGCCGCCCTGCCCCTCGGCAGCTAACTGTTCCCAGTTCGCTGTCATCTGTCTTCCAGCTGTCACAACTTCTTGCAAAGTGTCACACTACTTACAAAGGCTAACGCGGGAAGCTGGACCGGACCGCGGCGCACACGGTTGTCCCCAGAGCCGACGCGGGCCGCAGACGTCCCCCCGTGGCGGTCCTCATGCCGGCCCGGGACCCCCGGGCTTCGGCGCGCTCAGCGGCCCGCTTCCGAGCGCTGCGTGCGGGCGCGCGGAGGGCCCGCGCCGCGGCCCATGGCCGGGTCCCCAGCCCGTGCGAAGGGAGTCTCTCTACAAACCGCCGCTTTCTCTCGCCAGTCGGAGGAGGGGTGAGGGGGGGGGGAGCCGAGAAATACCAAGTCGTCGTCCAAGAAAACAAGTCGGGCGACGCCGAGGACGCTTGGCGCGGACGGCGCTCCGGAAACCGACCGTCGACCAGGGCGCTCCTCAGCAGTCTGGAGCTCCCGCCCCGAGCGCGGGCTCGCGGGGAACCAGGGCCTCTCGGGCTCCCAGCTTGGACCGAGACGGGCTTCCAGGCCGCGCCGGGGTCAGTCAGGGCAGCACCCGAGCTCCAAGCCCCGTCCGCCCGGCACCTCAGGCTCAGGAACGGCCCGGGGCCCGCGCCCGACTAACGGCCGTAACGGAAGCGGCGAGAAAGACTTGAGATGAGTCCTGAGCCCCAGAAGCGACGTGGGCAGCTCAGTCGGCTTCCTTTCGCGCTAGTCCGGCCGCGCAGCCTCCACCGCCGCTGCTTTGGACAGTGGACGCTTCGTTGTCACGAGCCGGAGGGAGGAGGGGGCAGGAGCCCGGACTCTCCGGGCTTCGACGCGCTGGGAGCGCGGCGCTTAAGTCACGTGCCTCCAAGCCGCCCAATGAGCGCCAGCGGCGCGGTGACGTCAGCGCAACCGCTTGGCGGATGACAGCAGGCCCCCGTCACGTGGTCAGGCCCACTCCAATGGGCGGTGCCGCGGCGACCTGAAGTTCCCGGCTGCCCGTGCGGCGGCGGTGGTTGGGTGGTAAGATGGCGGCTGTGAGTCTGCGGCTCGGCGACTTGGTGTGGTGAGTCCCGGCTGCCAGGGCTGAAGGAAAGACGGCGCGAAGCTGTTTTTCCTGATTGCAGGGTTGGCGCCTGGCCCAGGAATTGCTTTATTATGCGCTCCTGGCAGCGGAGAGTGGGGAAGACAAGGTGCCGCCGTGCTGCGAACGACGCTTGGGCGGAAGGGGCTGTCCGGTCCCCGGGGGACCGAGGCCGAGGGTGGCCGCGGCGGTCCGGTCTCTCAACCCCGAGACCATCCCAGGGGAGGGCTACGGCTCTGGAACCCGGACGCTGGCTGCCACTGCAGAGAGTTCCGTTGTCGCGCAGGTTCCCTAGTCCCGGGGTCTCTCCGGTGCTCCTCAAGGCAGGAGAGGCTGCCTCGCGGGGGACAGAGCCATCCGAACCCGCGTTCCGATGGGACAGACATGGGCTGGAGGCTCGGTTCCAGGTGGCGAAATCCGACTGCCCGGCCGAGGGAAGGGGGGGGACTTCTCCTTTGCAAATGATGGCTAGGCGGTGACCAGTGCCTCTCGTTCTGTTCCTTGTGTCCCCGCGCAACAGCCAGCATCAAGACTGACCATTGTCTCCTTGGAGCTGCGTAGTTTCCCGACCTAGAGGAAGGTTTCCATGATCATTTGTCAAAGGCAGGCTGATCTTGTGGTGAATTAAACCAGACTTAGGGAAAGTCTCTTTAAGAAAGAACTGTTTCCAACCCTGTCACTAGGAGGGCCCAGACCAGTAACTCTTAATGGTTTTGTTATTCTTTATTCTTTCTCAGTGGAAGACTGCACGGACTGCAGGCACACGCACACAGTTCTGTATTCATGTGTGAGGGTCCTGAGCCCAGCTGGGCAAGGCCCTTTAAGGACTCCAGTTTGCCTGCTTTTGTTCTGGCCCTTGAAAGTGCCAGCCTAGAGTTACAAGAGCATAAATTGCGTCTTGAGTGGGCTGAAGGAGCTGGACTGGCTTTTCCAGGGCAAGTTCTGACTCTGTATTATTTTCTCTAGGGGGAAACTGGGCCGGTATCCTCCCTGGCCAGGAAAGGTGAGTGTGTTGCTACTATTAAAAGAAGCCCTCTGAAGTTAAGGGTGTGGGAGAAATCTGAGTTTCTTCAGTCTCTTAACACTGGCTTCAAATGGGCTCATTCAGATAACACTTGGTATTTTACCTCTAGTTATCAGTCGGTTTGAAAGGTATGTCATAAACCAGAGTGTTTAATGTACAGTCATCATGTCTGTCTTCAGTCAGAGATGGGTGTGAAATTCGTTGTTGTTTTTTTTATCTTGGAAATCAGTTGTAATCAGAATGTAACATTATGTTTAAATCTAAGAAGAAACAGATTCTGCAGGAAGAGGAAATTCTAAATGTAGGTTAGTGAAAAGCCAAAGTATTTTTGTCCCAACTAAGTTTAAATCTTCTTTCCCTGCTACCATATGTGCTGCTCCAGTGCATATCTGCAGAAGCTGACATTCCAGATTTTTCGAGAGGTGCTCCATCATAGCTTTCCAAATGTTCTGAGTTTTCAGTCTTGCTAGGAATCCAGGAAATGTCTGTAGACTCTTTCCAATATGGTGTTTCCTGTGCCTCAGTAGGTCCTTTATTTTCACCATTTCCTGTCTTAACTCTTCTTGCGCCAAAAGTATTTTGAAGAATGTTTTCTGTTTCTTCATTGATCACATATTACCTGGGGGTGGAGGTGATATTGCTGTTAGTTTTAACTGTTTGTATACCAGGAGCCATTGCATAAAAACTATCTACTAAACAGTACACTATGTGTTAGCCATGGGGAATCTTAGGGGACATTTGTACATTTCTTCATATCACCATAGAAGACTGCCAGATACAGGGCAAATAAAAGCCTTGATTTCTTTTGGAACATAGTTCTTTTTAAAAATCTTTGTGGTTTTTTGTTTTATTTTGTTTTTCAGATCACTATTCTAGTAGACTGCTGGATTCTCATACCTTTTTTCCCTTTTATCCTTCAGATTGTTAATCCACCCAAGGACTTGAAGAAACCACGTGGAAAGAAATGCTTCTTTGTGAAGTTTTTTGGAACAGAAGATCAGTGAGTAGTATGCCCTGAGAGTTCATAGTGCGTTTGGGCATTCCCCTGAGTCTGACCTGCTTTGGGAATATTCTAAGGCTCCTTAGTTCAGGCTTACTGCAGTGTGTGAAAAAATGGTACCTCTTTCTGAGTGCATGCCCAAATAATGGGTGGTATTCTTTCTTGTCTGGCAAAAATTGTTCTGGGACCAATAGTAATGTCCCTCAGGTAAGAACCAGAGTTCATAACTTTCTATATATTATAGACATATTAAAGTAGTTTCTTATATCTTCACTTAATCACCAGTTCCACCAGAGTTCATAACTTTCTATATATTATAGACATATTAAAGTAGTTTCTTATATCTTCACTTAATCACCAGTTCCTATTTGCCTCTCTCATCAATTTTTTAAAAATTTTGTTGCCTTGTGGATGGAGCCTAGAGCTTTGCCCATGCTAGACAAGCCATTGATCACTGAACTACATGTCCAGCTGATTTTCTGTAGTCTGGTCTGTTTTTGAGTACACTGAAAGCTAAGATATTATTTGATAAAAGTACTTATTTCATCCTGTTCTCATTGTTAAGACAAAGTGACTTACTATGTAATTATAAAGCTTTATTTCCTAGTATGTGCTGAACTGAAAGAATTTAAAACCATTACTTTGAGGGTCTTTGACATTACATCAGTTTAAGAAATGACACAGAGGAAAGAATGTATATTAACTTGAATTTGCAGTGGTTTGTTTAACTTTCTCCTCAGTACAAGAGGATTTCCTGATTCTGGCTAGGTAACCTGATTTCTTTAGGCAGTTGTTTTTCTCTATTTATAATTGTTAAAAGAAAAATGTTATTTTAAGTTTAAAAAATGTGATTTTTCTGCTAAATCTGATACTGATGGCCAAAATATTAATTCCATAAAAGCAACATATAATACTGTATATGAAAGTTTCTTATAGATTGCTTCACACATTCAGGAGTTTGTGTCAGAGTGCTCTACCAGGTTTCAGTTTACATAGTATGTTGACTTTCGCAATACAGATATACCCTGCCCCCCATTTTTTTCATAAGCCAACTTACCAGCTTTGTGGTGGCAGTGTTTCAAGGAAGGTTCTAAGAGTGAGCCTGTGGAAGAGGGAATGTTCTTCAGTGCCATGAATTTAGATTGAACTATAGCTCAGTGGTAGAGCACTTGCCTATCATGTGCAAAACCTTGGGTTCAATCTCCATCACCACCACTACCTCATCTGCCTCAGGAAGGAAGGAAAGTGTTATTGCCATAGACTCCTTAAAGAAGATTATCCTGATAGAAAAACAGGTATTGGTGATGTTGCATATGAGTCTACATTCAGTAGTGCTAGACACTGAAGGAATTCCTAGGACGGTGAATGTTGTAGTCCTCACCTTTTGAGAGCTTGGTAAGGGAAGGAGATTTAGTAGTTGAGCTGGGATAGTGTGCAGAGTAACCAAAGTAACTAAAAACTGTGATGGAAGAGGGCAAGGTCAGTCGGGAACAGCAAGGTCTAGGAAAGATGATGGGTAGCAAGATGGGAATCCAGTTGGAAAGCACGAATAGAGTTTGGATAATCAGGAATGAAAATGGCAATGTGGATCCTATTGAACTATGGGAAAGACGAGGCTTCTTGCCTGACATAACTGGTGCTAGGGAATCACAGGCAATATTATTAGCCACACTTTAAGATGACTAAATGAAAAATTAGGCGTGTCTGAAAGAAATATGGGAACTCATTCAAATTACTTGAGGTCTGAAAGCCATTATTTGGTAAATTTTTTTCTAAAGCTAAAATCCTAGAAGGTTTCTCTATGTACACAAGATACTAGAACTAAGTAAGACACAGGAAATTGGAATTGCATGAACTTCAGTACTCAGTGATAAGGGCACGTGTTGAGTACATACATAATAACCCAGTGCCGGTAGTGATAATGTGATTTCTAAACAATAAGCTCTCTCGAGTAGGTACGTAACAATGGATACAAGGCAACAAGTAACTATAAATGACTTTAAGCCTCTTAGTTTCTTTGATGGATTTCCATGTTAAAATATTTTTTTAGAAGGGCTCAGGGTGAACCTGGTAGTGTAGTATGTGTTTAACATTCATGAGGCTCTGGGTTCAATGCCCAGTACTTCCTAAAAGATGAAACCCAGTGTAGGACTCAAGTACTTGATTATTTGTTTTGTGGACACTGGACAAGTGAAATGGGTTTGCAGCACTCTTGTTAAAGACAAGCTTCCTCAGTGCTCAGTGTTAAGGCTGGTTTATTAGGTCAGTGTACTATCTCTGGAGTGAGAGCTCCAGATTATTTGGTACTTGAGGAAATAACTTGGAATGTGTTGTCTGCCTAATGTGTATCAGATAACTGGTTCTACCTGCTCTCTGATCTAAGCAAACTATTTCACCTTTCTGAGCCATCATCCTCATATGAAATGCTTTGTGAGGAAAAGCAGCATCACTTCTAACATGAAAGAATACATTTTTTCACCTTAGCACTGTGGCTCTCCAGAAAACCTATGCAATTTAGTTGTTTCCCAGAAGACCAGATAGAGCTAGTCAAGATCCAGAGAAGGGAAGTGTCAGACAGGAGAATAGTGCTCTTTACTATGGGAAAGCAAATCCTGGGGGAAAAAAAAAAAAAAAAAAAAACATGGTCAGGAGTTAGGAACTAGCTAGTGGCCTTCAAGAGTTCTGCAAGGGACACCTCAAATAGAATGCATGATTGTTCAGGAACAGCACAATGATCCCTAGTTCGTGAAGTAGTCACTTTGAAGGTATTATAGACAAATGATAACTGAATATTTTAGAGATAAAAAACAGTTTCTAAAGGGCAAATATGTCTGTGACTATGGTGGAAGCTTTAAGACTGACATTAGGGTTGAGGGTAAGTGTGACCCTGGCTCATCCTGTTTTGAAGACTTCATTGGTGACTGAATCCTGGCCCAGTGAATGGAGCCCAACCCATGCTATTATATTCCTGAAAACATAGGATTCAGTCAGATGTACTTGGTTTCAAAATTGACACATGAATTAATGGAAAATGCATGTAATTAATTTTTATTTTAGCAAGGACCTTTATTGCAGAGTTGAGTAAAATTATTAATGTCTTATGATGGTCCTGGAGAGATGGCTCAGCATTTAAGAGTATTTACTGCTTGCTTTTGCGGAGGACTGGATTTGGTTCCCAGCACCCACACCAGGTGTCTCTGGCTTCCAAGGGCACTAATATGCACATAGTATACATTAACTCTCATGGCACACACGCATGCACATAAATAAAAAGTAAAAATTTTCAGTGTGTGTGTATATATAAAATTTATGATCCTAAAATTTTAGACATCTGGCTTTTCTTTCCTTTCTTACCAAAACATCTAACAAATTACGTTCTTTTCTTAGGAAAAGAAGGCCCAACCTACCTCATCAGGCCTCTCTGTTGATAATAGGACTTAATGAGATAGAGTCAGCTCTCCAAGATGTTTCTTTTCCCTTTCACTTTAAAATAAATGAGGGAAAAATAACTTCAGCATAGCTCTATTAACTATACCATATAACCACAGTTAAATATCAAGAATCAGTGTATGAGAATCTACCTTGGACAAATCTGTTCTTGGTTATGGCTCATCAAAGAAGAGATGAGGCTCAGAGTTTAAAATTTTGACCTGACATTAGAGAGGTGGTTCCATGATTTAGAGCACTTAACTGCTGTCCTGGAAGACCCTAGTTGGTTCCCTGCACCCATAGTACCTAATTCATAATTACCTATAACTCTAGTTCCGAAGGATCTGGCACCTTATGCTTTTCAGTGGTACCTGCACACATATGACATGCATGCACATGTGCGTATGCACACACTTGTGCATGCAAATACAAATAAATAAAAATAAATCTTTAAAAAAAATTTTTTTGAGCAAGGCTTGGAGAGATGACTCATGGTTATGAGCACTGGCTGCTCTTCCAGAGGACCTGGGTTCAGTTTCCAGCACCCACATGACAGCTCACACCTAACTAACTCTAGTTCCTGAGCTTCTGGCACCCTCACACAGATGTACATGCAGACAAAACACCAATGAACGTAAAAAATAAAAAGAAATTACGTATTTAATCAGTGTAAGTATTTTGATTAGTGCAAGCTGGCAAAGATGCAGATAAAGGTACTTGACTGCCAGTCCACATAATCTGAGCTCAGTCCTCAACAATCTTCTTGTAGAAGAAGAGAACTGACTCTGAAGTTGTTCTCTAACCTCTAAACATGGTGGTCTAGTACATGCCCACATACACACTCACACTATTGAAATTTTTGGTTTGCTCTCTAGCTGGAGATAGTGAAATGAGAAAGTGTTCATTTAGTTTGCAGGTACTCAGAGCCACCAGTTCATGAATACTACTGCAGGTAATGAAGTGATAGCTCAGTGGTTAATAGCAATGTCTTCTCTTCCAGAGGACCAAAGTTCAATTCCTAGAACCCACATGGGGCTCACAACAGTGTATAACTCCAGTTCCATATGCTCCCATGCCCTCTTATAGTCTCCATGAGCACTAGGCACGCACATGGTGCAGACATATATACATGTAAAAACAGATACACAGCAAATTAAAATAAATAATGATGATAAATCAAGGAAAGGCCCTAAGGAATTTTCTTCTTTAAGAGAATACTATAGGCCAACTGGGCAGCTTGTGACTAGAGACCTCAGTTTCCATGGCAATCTTTATGGCCAGTTCTCCCTCTGCTTTCAGGAAGTAGATAGGGATGGTGTTCTTACTCTTCTCATATGAGGACCAGGGATTGCAAATTTAAATGGTAAGATGTCCAGGATCCCAGACTCAGGAGCTTTTTAAATCAAGCCACATCAAAGGTGAGCCAGGCCTCACTGATATAAGGTGTAAAGAACTAAATGGTTGTTGATGAAGAACATACTGGGTGGAAATGTGTGAGCATACCTTTTTCTTTTCACCTGCTGTTGAGCTATCCACTTTCTATCTGATACCATTCGTAGTTGGAGAGTGGA